GAGGGGAAAGGCCCCGTGCCCCATTCCCAGCCCCCCTGAACCAGCCAGTCCCCTGCCCTGGGCCCAGCCCAGAACTGGCACCTCCTAGAGGGGAAAGGCCCCGTGACCCATTCTGTGGAGAGTGACACTTTTTAAGACTCTTTATGTCTCGAATGCAACGTGGCCCTGGCCCCCAGCTGGTGTGACTCAGCCTCGCTCTATTGGAGTCAGTGGCATTAGGTCACTTCACACCGGCCGGGGATCTGGCCCGTTGACTCCACTGGCTCTATGGCCGAGTGGGGATCGGGCCCACGTCATGCTGAGGCCCCAGTGGCCCCCCTGTCCCACGGTCCCAGCTGGCGGGACCGGATCAGCGCGTTCTTTTCCTGTTATCTCCATGGCCGGCAGCTGTGGCGAAGTCCCTAAGTGCAGCCGGATCCCCCGGTGCTGAGGGTAAACATCCCTCCCCTCCCCACGCGGCAGCTGCAGCTGTCACTGGCGTTCGCGGGGAGGGAGGGGGGTCAGAGTCTCCTGAAGGCCTCTGGCAGTCACCATGGTAATGGCACCAGCCTACGTGCGCTTTGGCTCGGGCAGCAGCTGGCGTTACCTTGACGCCGGCAAATGCCACTGGGCACCATCATGCAAACTCTCCACCCAAAAAAGATTCTTTTCCCCCTGCCCCCAAATCCTCTGGGGTCTCCCCCGCCAGCCTGGGGACCGAGAGACCCAATCTGTCCCCCTTTTTTTATTCTGTTTTGACCTGTGGAACTCCTTGCCACTGGTTTTTCCATGGTGGGAACTTCACCGGCCTCCTAATGCCACCCCTGAACTATGTCTGCCTCCTCATTTACCCTCTGTCAATGCAGTTAGCCTGTGGAACTCACTGCCACAAGATGCCACTTTTGGAGAAAGGCTGCCTGGCCAGCCGGAGCCCTGCTCTGGGGATTTCTATAAGGCTGAGTGGTCTCTGCACATGCTGTGGCTTGAATCTTTGCAGGCCGTAACTCCACAGACTCCAGCCAGCAGGGAATTTGGCCCAGTGTATTTTTTTCCACTGCAACCTCTTGCCCCACTGTGGTGGGCGGGAGAGACTCAGAGGAGCAGCGTTAGCGAATGGAAGCCCTCTCTGGGCGCTGACCTGACCACTAGGAGGGATGGGCGATTTAGATCAGGAGCATGTGTAGGAGCGACATTACGGTAGCGCGTGGTTAACCCGTTGGCTTGGCTTTGCTGGAGTCACTCCCCTGCTTAATTAGATCTGAAGCTCTTTGGGGCAGGGTCCATCTGTTTGTTCTGCAGATGTACAGCACCTGGCGCATGGGTTCCTGGGCCGCGACGCTGAGGCACTACCACAATCCGCCTCATAAATAAGTATTTAAGCCTGTGCTTTGCTTTAAGGGGACACAGCTGAATGGAGAGGGGTTCATTGAAATGAGGATGGACAGATGCCTTCCTGCCACCTCCCAAAAGGATCAGTGGAAGTGTCTCCGCCTCTCTGAAGACTCTGCCTGACCCTCCAAATAAGAGAGAGGTCAATAAATAGGTGTATTATGATAGCACCTAGCAGCCCCAGTGATAGCCCAGGACTCCACAGCGCTGGGTGCTGTACATTATTAGGTGTATTATGGTAGTGCCTAAGAGTCCAGCCATGGCCCAAGACCCCATAGGGCCGAGCACTATACATTATTTATTAGGTGTATTACGGTAGCACCTAGTAGCCCCAGCCATGGACTGGGACCCAATTATGGTAGGTGCTGTACATTATTTGTTAGGTGTATTACGGTAGAACCTAGGAGCCCCAGTCGTGTGGCCCATAACTCCATTGCACAAGGCGTTGTACATTATTAGGTGTATTATGGTAGCACCTAGGAGCCTCAGCCATGGCCAAGAACCCCATTGTGCTGGGCGCTGTACATTATTAGGTGTATTACGGTAGCACCTAGGTGCCCAGCCATGGCCCATAATCCCATTGCGCTGGGCGCGGCACGAACACAGAACAAAAAGACAGTCCCTGCCCCAGGGCACTGATCCTCTAAATTCGACTAATTTAACTGACTAGTTTAAGGCCTAGCGTTGATCCCATCACCTAGCAGTGAGTTCCACAGGTTAAAACCTGCGATGTCCCATCCGCTCTAAGGCCAGCTCTCCATTCCGGACGTCCGCCGGCGGAGCTCTGCTAGTCCGTGCCCTGTGGACGGGTGGCGTCTGGCCGACCCAGCAGAAACCCTAACGGAGACGCGACGTTGCTTTTGCTGGGTTCGGTCGGGTGGGGTGGAATGAGCGATCCTGGCGGAGCGCGCGGCTTTCCTGGGATAAGCCGGGTCCCCGCGAGAAGCCCTTTGTGTATGGCTGTAGCTTCGCCGGCAAAGCACTCTGCAGAGAGATCGGGCCTCTCAATCCGCTCCCTTTCCTACCCATCCCGCATCCTGCCTTGTGCAGCGGGCTGACTAGAATCCCACCCTGTCTCTTCCCTATCCCGCACCCCTCCGCGCGTCCCCTCCTTGATCACCCCATCCAGACAAGCCCCCAGAAATGGGATCGTCCGGCTCGCCTGTGTTTTATTTTTAACAGCAGCCCGTTCAAATTTCCATTCCGCTCCCTTATTAATCGATTTTTTTTTTTAATTACACGCAAACAGTGCATCTTACGTGCATCTGAGCTGTCATGGAAACTAGCCCCAGTTCCTGGTACCAGCCTGACGCTTCCAGGCCTTTTAATGAAAAGATCCTTCTGTCACGGCCCTCTGTGTGCTCCCTGGTCTCCACAGTAACAGGCCCATCGCTGGTCTCCACGCGCTCCGGAGAGTAGATAAGAGCCGTACAAGGCCAAGCAGATAGGGACCAGCTGACATTTCTCACCCTCCCACAATGCATCGCTTCACTTGAGTCACGGCCCCGAACTGAAGCAGCCCTGTGGACACCTGGGGAGAGAGGGGCCCTGCCCCAGGGAGCTTGGGGTTATCCCTTGTTTTACAGATGGGGAAACTGAGGCATGGGGGGAGGGAGTCTCTGGCAGGTAGTGAGGGGGAGCATTAACCCCCAAGCCTCTCGCAGCGCTACCTCCGGGTTGAAATCTGCCCCTGCGCAGCTGGGGCTCTTGCAAAGAAGCGGCTCTTATTTGTGTGTGTTGGGGGGACGGGATTGTTTAAAGGACACCGCAGGGCAGGAGAGATACAGGACGATCACGACGGCTTATTACCGAGGAGCCATGGGCTTTCTGCTGATGTACGACATCGCCAACCAGGATTCCTTCAACGCCGTGCAGGACTGGTAAGAGACCCCACGTTCCCTTGCGTTGTACCATGAGAGCCAGTCGTGTCCAGGGCTGAGTGAAGATACAGGCACTAGGGGGCCCCTATTTAGGGCTCCTGGCTCCCTGGGGATTGAGGTCAAGATCTCCGTGGGGGGAAAATGAGCTCTCTGACTGGAGCTGGTGGTGAAGAAAAGCTTGAGCCGAGCAAAACGGACGTCTGCCTGAGTCTGCCGAGAGCCTGAGCTGATAGCTCAAAAGAGGGTGGAGTTGCCTGACGCAGCGACCCTGCCTGAGTCTGCCGAGAGCCTGAGCCCGTCCGCCTGAGAGAGGGCAGCTGCGCTGTGTGTAACTGATGCAGCCAAGCAGAAAGCAAACCGTGTGTGAGTGGGGGAGGGGATATGGCCCCCTCAATCTCTCCCGCCCCAGGGAAGGCCCTGCCTCCGCTGGAAACTCCTGATAAGGTTGCAGCGCTCATGTTCCTTAAAGACATGGCGTGGTGGGGAGGGGGCCCATCCGTAAAGACTCACTGGATTTTTAAGATCTTTTATGGGGGGCGGGGTAGTGTCGGGGATGGAAGAGGCAGGTCACTGCACTGAACTATGGGGAAAACCGGGGTGGGGTCAGGGGAGGACCTCGGAGATGGGGCTCTGCCCCCCCCCACTTTTCACTGCTCCCTATTCCTGGCTTCACCCCTCTCTGGGGGCTGTTTGTCATCACCCCCGCGCCCAGCTGCAGCCTCAGGCAGGGAGAGGCGCAAATCTGCTGGGGCCACCCGTGAGTCAGATTGACAGTGAGTCACCGGGTTTAGGGAGGAGGAGGCTGAACAGGGAAGGGGTTTAGCCCGGGGATATAGTGGAAGCCAGGACTCCTGGGTCCTCTCCTTGGCTCTGGAAGGAGGGTGGGGTCTAGTGGTTAGAGTAGGGGATTGGGAGTCAGGGCTCCGAGATTCTGTTCTGGGAGGGGAGCCCTCGGACGGCTGCTCTCACTCACACAAAGCCCACCGGATGCCGTTTCTTCCTGGGACTGAGTTTAACGCCGCTGAGCACTGACCGATGCACTTTCCCTCCAAAGATCTCCGAGTGCTTTACAAACAGGGGTCGGTATTTATTATTATCCCTCTTTCACAGAAGGGGAAACTGAGGCAAAAGGTAGTGAAGGCACAAGGTAGCAGAGACACCCAAAGTAGTCATCTTTTCCACCCCCCTCCGCTCTACCCACTAGGCCTCTCTCCCCTCCTAAGCCTGGGCATAGATAGAACCTTGGAGTCCTCGCTCCCAGCCCCACAGCTCGAACCACTAGACCCCAAAGCCCTCCCAGAGCTGGGGATAGAACCCAGGAGTCCTGACCTCAAAAGGATAGTAAACAATGTGAGTTGGGAGGGTAGGGAGGAAGTGGGAAGGATGCGTTCAATCCCTCCCATGGAAGAACCTATATATAGTGCAAATTCCTGGCTGGTGTGGGACTTATGTTCCTTTAAGACGGGGTGGTGCAGGGATCCCAGCGATAAAAGACACATTGGATTTGTAACCGTGCTCTTTTATAAGGGGGGGAGGAGTCAGAGTGGGGTGGGGTGAAGGTGATTGACAGCTGCATGGGCACGGCTTGTAAGCAAGACCCGAGTTCAATTCCCACCCCCGCTCCGTAGGGCGACCCAGATCAAGACCTACTCGTGGGATAACGCCCAGGTGATCCTGGTGGGGAACAAGTGTGACCTCGAGGACGACCGAGTGGTGGCCACGGAGGATGGCAAGCGGCTGGCTGATGAGCTAGGTAGGTGCCCTCCAGCCCTGCAGCGGATGGAGAACCTGGAACGGATTTTTCCGTTTGTCGACAATTCCAAAAACCCCAGGACTGAACTTTCATGGGGGGGGGGTCAATGTTTTTCAAAACGTTCAGCAAGTTGAAAACTATTTCGTTTCGACTTGAGGCAGACATTTTGAGCATTTTTAACCTCTTTTGTTTAATTTTAAAGAACACAATTGAAGGAAATTTTGAGACGGAAAAACTAAAATGTGTTGATTTAAAAAACAATTCTTTCTTTTGTTTTGTTGGGGGTTTTTTTTGTTTGTTTTTGGTTTGGGTTTTCTTCCCCTCCAACTGCAACAATTTGGCAGAACAAATTCCCATTAAAATCAGCAGTCGGTAGGCACCTAAATAAGGCTTGAGGCCTCAGGCACTTGGCTAACGTTTTATCTGCAATCACAAACTTCTCCATGAACAGAAGGGGCCTCTCCCAATCATCTCTCCGCCCTTAAAACTCTTGTTTTTTGTGTCACCTCGCCCCCTAGTGGCCAATGTCAACAGATAAAAGCTCTACTACTGCTGGCCCATATAGTCATAGATTCCAAAGGTAGAAGGGACCATTGTGATCAGCTAGTCTGACCTCTTGCATCACACAGGCCAGAGAACTGTAGGTAGTTATAGAAGGTGATCAGGTTATTGCTCTGTTAGCTCAGGTGTTAAGGGACTGGGGTTTTCATGCTGAAGGCTAAGGGTTCAAATCCTCCTGCTGGATCCACCATAAGAATGGCCATATTGGGTCAGAACAAGGGCTCATCTAGCCCACCCTCTCTTCTGATGCCAGGTGCCCTAGTGGGAATGAACAGAACAGGTAATCATCAAGTGATCCATGCCCTGTCACCCATTCCCAGCTTCTGGCAAACAGAGGCTAGGGACACCATCCCTGCCCATCCTGGCTAATAGCCATTGATGGACCTATCCTCCATGAACTTATATAGTTCTTTTTTGAACGCTGTTATAGTCTTGGCCTTCACAACATCCTCTGGCAAAGAGTTCCACAGGTTGACTGTGCGTTGTGTGTACTTTCAGTCACCAACACACGATTTTCTCCTCCTTCTGTTCTTTCTCATTCCCTCCTTTCTCCCCCTTCCTCCCCTCCCCCCAGGGTTTGAATTCTTCGAAGCCAGCGCCAAGGACAACATCAACGTCAAGCAGGTCTTTGAGCGCCTGGTGGACATTATCTGCGAGAAGATGAACGAGAGCCTGGACACCAACTCCACCCTCGTCAGCAACAGCAAGAACGGGGCCCTGACCGAGACTCCGCCCCCGCAGTCCAGCAGCTGCTCTTGCTAGATAACAGACTCCGCCCACCTATGGCTCCTCTCTCCTCCCCCCCCCCCCCAACGGTCACATTGATGTCATAGATAAATAGGGTGGGAGGTTATGGGGAGAGGCAGATCTCTTGGGCTGCTGCCCCAGTGTCTTTGTATTTGCCTATGACAACAATGCAACAGATCCGCCCTCCCTTTCCTTATCCCCGATCCAGGGTTCTTCCATCCCGGCAACCACGGCCAGCTTAGGGATGAGGAACGTGAGCCCATCCACTGGACCTCAGAGGTGGTGGGGCAGGCCCAGGCCCCCCACAGCTGACGCAAATTGGCCTGACTTCCGTTGACTTTGATGGCGCTGACGTGGGTGCTACGGATCCAGCGGGGGTCTGATGCCTCAGCGTATGCGCAGTCTCTTGGGAGCGCGTCTGTTATTAGCCAAGCCCTAGGCGCAGCTTTGCGAAAGGCTGGGGCATCGAACCCCCGCGTAGATCTGTGACGACCGCTCTGTGTTTGTAAGAGGACGGAGAGGAGTGCCCGGGGGGAGATGTGAGGAAGTTTCCTGCTCTGGGCTTGCTGCAGGTTGGTGTGAGGGACGTTTTTCCTCATGCTGGAAAACAGGTGTTGGGGGAAGGGGGAGATCCATTTTCATCTCAATTTTCCACTGAACATTTCAGGTTTTTCCCAGTGAAAATTCGTGTCCTGAACATCTTTGACCAAAAGCCGGAGCGACTTATTCTGAAATGCCTCCTGGGTGTGGTAGTCCGGGTGCCTTGTGCGCCTGTTCTCTTCTGTAGAGTGGGCTTCTTGGTCAGACTACATCTCCCACGATGCACCACTCTCCCTGCTGGGAGAGGAGGGGTTGCATCATGGGGGTCCCTGGCCATGGTGCATCATGGGAGACGTAGTCCAACTAAGGAACCCGGTTCATAGGGGAGAACGGAAGCGTGAGGCCACTGCACTACAACTCCCATGAGGCACCACAGCAGCATTTATTTTCCAAAGCAACTCAACCCCAACTGACTGCTTCCCATAGAGTCACGCACCCTGTAAATGGCCAGGGGCCCCTCGTGCGCTCCCCCACCCTGGTGCATTTGTTTGCACTAGTGTCGAATGCTCCCATGGCGGGGTTGCAGTGAAAATAACAACACAAGGCACCCGAGAGTTGGGCCTCTCTTTTTTTTTCTTCTTTCCTCAAAGCATCTCTTGCTTTTGGGGTCCTCGGTTTGGGGACTTGCCTAGAGGGCGCCACCTTAAAAGTGCCTGGCACTTTCTGACTATTGGGTCCCTTTAAGCAGCCTCCGGTTGAGCACCCCAACCCTGGAGGCACCAAAAATCACTAGTCATTTGTGTGGGGGGAGAGGGGTAAATCCAGAGAGACTCCGCTTAGACGCTGACCCTCAGCTGGTGTAAATGGGCGTCTGGCCCCTCTGACGCCAATGGCGTGACGCTGGCTTACACCAGCTGGGGATCTGGGCCTTAATGTAGAAAAGGGCCAGGGGAGAGACCAGACCAGGGACTGGGGAAAATGTAGAATACATTGAAGGTATCGGATCAGTTTGAACCAACCCCTGCAGGGCTGGGAGTCTTGTAAAACCAAAGATCCTGGGCCTGATTTTCCCGTTGCACTGAGCCTTGTACGGTGATTTATTTACACGAGGATGTGAGGGGTTAAAATCAATCTAATCTGATTTGCACTAGTGGTGCATGGGGGGAGTGGTTGCAGGGGGGTTGCACTAGTGGTGCAGGGCACTGGGGAATTGGACCAGTGGGGCAGGAAGGGCCAACGGGTAGAGAGACTTTCCCCCTTTTTGGGGTGTTGGTTCCAGGCCGGAGCCCGGCTTGACAGTGACTGAGACCCTAATCATGCAGACGACGCGAGAGCTCGCCCCAGGCTTGAGGCCTCGGGATCCATCTCTAGTTGATTCGGCGTCCTACACTGGGAGGGGCTGGTGCGCTGTGGGGAAGTTGAGGCAGGGCTGCCCTAGAGCCAAGCTTCGCAGGGCCTGCGGCCCAGATCCCCTTGCAGTTCCCAGGGATTTGAGGACATCTGACTCCCTTTGTGATGCCCTCTGCCCCCAGCCTGCATTAAATATCCCCGTCAGCCCCAAAGACTCCAGTGTTGTTGTTTTGGGGAGGTGCCATGCAGGCACCCAATGGGGCACCTTCCAGAAAGCTTTAGCTGGCAGATGGGCCTCGGATAACCCCCGAGGGAGGAAAATCACTGGATTCCCCATCAGGGGATGGCTATGCTTGGACCTGGACCAGGGCATGAGACTGGGTTGATCCCCTACTGCTGGGGTCGTGCCACTGGGCTGCTCTAATTCATGCTCTGTTTCCCAAGAGCCCCCGCTGAAGCATGGAGTACCCATAATGCAATGTGGTCCAGTCACACACACCCCCATACACTAGGTTCAGTGCCCTTATACCAGCTTCTCATTGGCTGGGGTAGGCCCTGCCCCTGCACAGTGTGTGTGGGGGTTGGGGAGGCAGGATTCTCAGGTGGGGCTGTCTCGGCCCACTTTATTCAGCCTTAACTGAGAATCAGCCTGTGGAATCTGGACTCTGTGTGTCAGCTGCCCCATACTGTACCGGGCCTCAGCTCCTTTAAAAAGGAGTCAAGCGCATTCCAGGGCGACGTGAAACGCCCCTTGATGTCCCAGCCCTGCTGGAACACGGCGAGTCTTGGCTGGAAAAGGTACCACAGTCCATTCCCGTCCCACGCGGCACAGATCATTTCCGCCCCTCCGCGGCTATCGATTAGCTTCTCCTCGCTGGAGCAAGCTTCGGTGCGACAACCGGCCTCTCCCGGAGTCTGATCTCGCGTCTTTCCGTGAAGCAAGCGCTCAGGGCTCGGCTGCAGGGACCGGTGCGCTGGGGTGACCAGACAGCAAGGGTGAAAAATCGGGATGGGGGTGGGGGGTAATAGACGCCTATATAAGACAAAGCCCCAAATATCGGGACTGTCCCTATATAATCGGGACATCTGGTCACCCTACTGTGCGCCATCTCTCAGCTCACAATGTGATGCTTCCACGCTTCGTGCCCCAGCCGTGCAGAGTGTTTTGGACGTGGGGGAGGGGGGGCATCGCGTTGCTCAGATTCCCAGGGGATGTGCAATCTTTAAAAACGGAGGAGAGGCCAGTGTCTTAATTTACAAAAACAAAAGTGCCTTTAGCAAAAGCCAAACTATTGATCGGTCACGTGTAGATATCCACGCTCCCAGCTAGGCTGTAGCCCAGCGGTAAATGCCTTGTTTAACCTCATGCTCTTTTCTTCTTAGCCAGATCTATGCCCCCCAATTCCCAGAATTAATTAAGAGAGAGATGCACAGAGTTCAAGGCCAGAAGGGATAATTCACTCATCTCCTCTGACCTGCTGTGCATCAGAGGCTGTGAAATTTCATCCAGTTACCCCTGTCTTGAGCCAAAGATAGATACGCTGGCATTGGTCTTTAAAATCCCTTCGGTCAGATCTCTGTAACGGGGGTGGGGGGTATAACTGATGTAGCATGTGAACATTGGAAGGGGGGGATCCACCCCCCAAAATAGGCCTAATGAAATTTAAACCCGACCAAAGTGGGATTTAGGTATGACTGGGGCGGGGATGGTCTTTTTGTTCTGTGTTTGTACAGGGCCTGGCACACTGGGCCATGACCGGGCTTCTGAGCGCTACCATAATATGCCTAATAAAGAATAATAATGCCTTTAAAAATCACAACGGAACGGTCTGCTGTCCGACTGATTTCTACGCAGGCGGGTCTTGGGCCCCCTCCGGTGGCTAGAGGATAGAGTTAGGTGGTGGTGAAGGCGTCTCCGTCTCAGGATATGAGAGACAAGGGGGGAGGTAATGGCTTTTATTGGCCCAAGCTCTGTTGGGGAAGGAGACAAGCTTTCGAGCGCCAGGCAGCCCCTCTGCGGGACCTGAAGGAACCCCAAGTTTCGCTTTGGCAGAATTCAATTTTGATTTTTCTGTCATTTCGATGGATACGAGCGATGTTTATTTTAAGCATATTTTTGATTTTTTGGAACCAATTTACATGTTCACCCTTGCACAAAATGATGGGCTTTAAAGCATTTTTTTCTAGGTATTTAAATTTTCACCGTTGTGGGTAAATATGGGGGGGGATCAGCCACAGGGAGGGGATCGGACATTGCCACTCAACTTTGGGATTCGCCACGGACGGCTTGAGAGCCATCAACGCGCGAGCTGTCAACATCACGCGTCAAAATGTCACCCGTCAATCAAACGCTAATAAATTCTCAAGCCTACTTTGCCCGCCGGTCGATTTCAATGATCAATGGAAATAGTTTTGCCTCCTTTGTGGGTGTCTGGTGAAATCGACGTTTAACGACCCTTCCCGATGAAAAGCGAACCCAGCCTAGCTAACGTGCATGTATTGCTGAATCTATCGGTGGGGGCTTTAGCCGGCTAGCACGGAATGATCATGAGTTAATAGCTGTTCCTAGCTCCATATAATCACGGCCTTTTCTATAAATGGCCTTTTTTTGTTGTTCAAAATCTGGCAAAAGTCTCCCCCCAAAGCATCTTAGAATTACATAAAACAACCGCCTGGGTCTTCAGCAGCTTTGTACAGAGGGTCTGGCCCAATTTGCGGCCACAGGCCTGGTGCGATGTTGTGCAAATGATGTGGAAAGATATTCGCTGCAGCTGGATAAAATGTGTTTGAAAGGAGAAGGTTTGTCCTTAATAATTCAGGATGGTGGCGTCCGCCACAGATGCGTTCCACACAAACAGCGCCCGTGTTCATTTTCCCAGCTGTCTTTTCCCCCCCCCCCTTCAAAAGCAGGAGAATGTAGGGCGGGGAAATACAGACCCTAATGCCTTTTAATTCCCTCTTTCCGCTCGCTTGTCAGTTTCACCCAACAAACTGCTTCCAAATCTTCTTTCTGCGGGGAGGGTCTGGGGGCAATCAGAGGAAAATCTACCAAAGCACCTGCAGTTTTGCGGTGATGTTAATGGTGCCTGGGGAAATGGCGGCTGTCTGCCATGTGCCTGGCTAATGATTTCTTTGCATTTATTGCTAAGGGACAGGGGTGGGGTTAAACGAGCGAGGTGATCTGTCATTAGGGGAAGGCTAATTAAAGATGGGCACCTTTCCAGTGGCTGGCAGCTTTTTGTGCTTCTTGCTAATGGCAAATGGCTGGGGTAAGCAAAGGATGTGGGTGAAAAAAGCAAAGCCAAACCTTTCCTTGAGCAAGCATTGGGGAAATGAAGCCCGGCAGGGCGGGTGGGCTCGTGGAAAAAGCCCTGGCCTGAAACCTGCATTCAATGCCTGCCACTCTGTGCCTCAGTTTCCCCCACTGCAACCCGAGGCTCATAACCCTTCCTTTTGTCTTGTCTATTTCGGCTGGGAACGAGAGCTGGGCCGATAATGGCGGGTTTTTGGTTTGCTGACACTTCTGAAAAAATCAACCCCCTCAAAATTACCGAACCTTTTCAAAGTTCTCAGCAAATGGAAAAGTTGCGGGGGGGGGGATTGTTTCGGCTTGAACAGAACGTTTTGCTTAGGTTACAAGTGGGGTTTTCGTTTTTATGTTTAAAGAAAATCAAATGGAAGGAAATAGCGCAAGAAAAAGTTGGAACCTTGCGACGTTTACTGACTTATTTTTCCGACACAACCAACCAGCGAGAAGCAGCATGTTCAAGAGAAGGGTTTCGGTGTCACTGAATCTGCATTTTTTCTTGAAAAAACATTTCAGCCCAAACATTTCAACCAGCTCGATTGTAAACGCTTTGTGGCAGGAACTGTCCTCGACTAGGTAACTATGCAGTGCCCGGCACAAGGGGGCCCGGATCCCGGTCGGGGTCTGGGCAGCGCCTGGCAGGATGGGGGCCCTGATCTCAGGCAAGGTCTGGGCAGCGCCTGGCACTATGGGGCCCTGATCTCGGTCAGAGTCTGGGCAGCGCCTGGCACAAGGGGGGCCCTGATCTCAGGCAAGGTCTGGACAGCGCCTGGCACAATGGGGCCCTGATCTTGGTCAGGGTCTGTGCATTGTCCAGCCTCCTACAAGACAGGGCCTTCATCTCGACAGAATAAACTTCCCCACGTCCCAGCCTGCCCCTCACATCCCCGGCTTGGTGCAGACGGTGCCGTCACTCAGCAAAGCTGGGGGGTCAGCTAATCATTTACGGTGAATCGACTTGGCCGCTTTCCTAGTTGGGCGGGGGGGGGGACCCGTTGGCCCCAGTGCCCATCGGTATAATTTCCTGCGGAATGAACCTGGCCGTGGCAGCAATACGAATTCAACAGCGTCGCGTTCTTGGGAGCTGTGCTCCCCCCCCTCCCCCCTGGTTTGCAACGATGAGCCGCGAAGAGGGAGGGGCATGAAATATTTAGAAGCCGGCGCTGTGCATAATTGGCACCGTTTTGTGCCTGGCAGCCACCTGTCCGTGGCGCAGCCACGCTGGTGCCAGCTGGGCGACGGGCGAAGCAGACAGGAGTCGGCCGAAGCGTGGGCCAGATCCGCCACTCGCGGAGACGGGCCTCGTGAGGCGACGCTGCTTTACACCAAGTGGGAATCTGGCCCACGAGGACGCTGCTCTCAGCAGGGAGCGTTTATATCTGGTGCTTGGCGTCTTGTCAATAGCCGAAGCAGGAGGCCCTTGAGGGGCCTGGCTCCTGCTGTCAATCAACTTGTCAAATGCAGCTGTGGTGCCACAGCCCAGATGTGGTGCTCTAATTGCACAGCTGGTGACAGAAGCACGTTACGCATTGAAAGCCTGGGGCAGGAAAGTAAATCTGGACGAGGGTCATTATTTGTATTACCACCGCATCTAAAGGCCCTGACCAAGAGCAGGCCACCGCATGCCAGGCACTGCCCAGACCTTGCCTGAGATCAGGGCCCCCCTTGTGCCAGGCGCTGCACAGACCCTGACCAAGATCAGGGCCCCCTTGTGCCAGGCGCTGCCCAGACCCCGACCAAGATCAGGGGCCCCATAGTGCCAGGCGCTGCCCAGACCCCAACCGAGATCAGGGCCCCATAGTGCCAGGCGCTGCCCAGACCCCGACCAAGATCAGGGCCCCCTTGTGCCAGGCGCTGCCCAGACCCCGATCAAGATCAGGGCCCCATAGTGCCAGGCGCTGTGCAGACCCCAACCAGGATCAGGGCCCCCTTGTGCCAGGCGCTGCCCAGACCCTGACCGAGATCAGGGCCCCATAGTGCCAGGCGCTGCCCAGACCCC